GAGAGAGAGAGAGAGAGAGAGAGAGAGAGAGAGAGAGAGAGAGAGCGGGAGAGAGAGAGAGAGAGATAGAGAGGAAGTTTCTTCTCCGATCTCTCACGCCTCACACCCTCCGATGCGATGCCCCGCACCGGTGCTGCCGCCACCTGGAGCGTCGTCTGTAACGCACGCGTCTTCGCTGCCGCAGGTCTGCCGACACGCAGCATGTCAACGAGCGCCGTTCCAACGCTGTCGTCGTCGTCGTCGTCGATGGCAACCACGACGACGACGACACCCCCGCACGCGGCGACGATGACGCAGCCGGGCCGCGACGACACCAGCGACCTGTCGGACATCTTCATCAACCCGCCCGTGTTGAGGTGAGCGGCGGCGGTGGTCGCTAGGCAACGCAGCGACGACGACACCGGTGCAGACGAACCATGGGTGTTGTCATGACTCCCTGGGTGCTGTCGCGTTGTATCATCAGTAGCCCTGATTCGTGTTCCTAGCGTTATCGTGGCTCTAATAGCCTTAACCGAGTGGTAACCCGAATGTAATCTCTAGGAAGCTTTCAGTGCACAAAAACGCATATGTACACCCACACGCACGCACGCACGCATGCACAAACACACGCACACACACACACAAACTGAAACATACACAAACTGAAACGCATGCATGCACGCACGCACCCCCCCCCACACCATGCACACACACAAACTGAAACATACATACAAACACGCGCACGCATGCCCCCCCCCTCCCACACACACACACGCCATGCACACAGGACCGCCACAAACATGAACATACATTACAAAAATACGCACGCCATGCCAAGCACACAGCACACACACCATGCACACACAGCGCCGACGCGACTCCGACATCAAAGCGATCCAGCGACCGAACCAAGGTTCCCGCGACCGCCCGCCCGCCCGACCGTAACTCTCTCGTTTCCTCTCGCGCGCGCCGCGCACGCAGGCAGAAGCAGACGGACTCGTCGCCGCGGGCGACCGCATCCCAGCAGCAGCAGGGGGCGCCGCAGCCTCCGCCGCCGCGCAGCGTGCTGACGCAGCGTAACTCCTACACGGAGGGCGTGACCAACCGCGCCCCGCGCCCCTCCCCCGTCATCGCCTCCGACGTGAAGCTGACGACGACCATCGAGAAGGAGGGGGAGAAGCCGGCGCCCTCCCCCGGCGTCGGGGAGAAGCCGAGACCGATCTCGATCCTCGCGACGAAGCAGAGTTCTGTACGACGCAACAGCAACTGCAGGTGAGAGAGGAAGGAGGGGAGGAAGGAGGGGGGGAGAGGGAGGAGGAGGGGAGAGAGAGGTCATTAGAGTGTTATTGACATAAATCACGTACGTAGTGTGTGTGTGCGTGCGCGCGTGCGTGCGTGCGTGCGTGCGTGCGTGCGTGCGTGCGACTAGCTTAACTAACGTGTTCTTCCCACCGTCTGTTCGCAGCGACAACGTCGATAAGAAGGATCCGTTGACGGACCCTCTCACAGCGCTGGTCAAGGAGCAGGGGGGCGGCTCGAAGAGAAACGCTCTGCTGAAGTGGTGTCAGAAGATCACAACTAGCTACGCGGTAAGTCCGCCCCCATGTATCGCCGCCCCCACCCCCACCCGTCTCACCTCATATCCCCTCCCCCCCCCCCCCAGGCACATGATCTGTGTCTTCCATGATGCACGGAGTGGACGTTGTGATAGGTATGCTGTGTGGTGGTGTGTGGTGGTGTGTGGTAGGTATGCTGTGTGGTGGTATGTGGTGGTGTGTTGTAGGTATGCTGTGTGGTGGTATGTGGTGGTGTGTGGTGGGTATGCTGTGTGCTAGGTATGCTGTGTGGTGGTGTGTGGTAGGTATGCTGTGTGGTGGTGTGTGGT